TTAATATTAACTAATAATATTTAAAAATTGCAAAAATAAAAATAAAAATGATAAAAAATTTAAAACCAACTTAAAAGTAACCTATTTTTAAAAGTTGGAAGGATTCGAATAGCAAATAAAAATTCAAGAACAAAACTTTAGTTAATTTATTAAAATTTGGCCAACCATACAACGCTGTTTTGAGTATTGCCAAGTACTCAGAAATTTAAATTAAAATTTATTTTAATGTACTATTTGCTTATATCTTGATATTTGTAGCATATGAAAGCCCAAAGCTTCAGAATATAAATAGCGCTATTAAATATATTATACTATATATCATAGTGATGACAGGAAGTAATTTTAGCTTAATGTTCAGAAAGCTTTGATAACAAAATTCATACAGCGCCCATAGACTTAAATATTTTTTTCTTTAAAAAAAATATTATGGAAAAACTTTAATAATACCTATATATAAAATACATATAAAATATATATAAAATAGAAAATAATTAAGTATTTGCATGTAGTCTAAGCATGTAACGTAAAAATCATTTATAAAGTCACAGATTGGTGGACGAGCAAATATAGGTCAAGAGAAAAATATATCCCTAATGCAGTGGCCAATCTTAATAAAATTGCTTGTATCAGTCCCTGATACATTATACAAAAAATGTGAACCTTAAATATTAACTATTTATCAGTATTTTTGGCTAAATATCTGTTAAACTATATCCACTTCTATTTCACTAAATGATTACCTGGAGAGTTAATAGCCACAATTTCAGCTTGACAATGAAAAACAGCCGTATTACTTGGAATAGGTTCGTTTGGGACAGCTATATTTTAAAGCTGAAATTAAGTTAAATCGAATAGCCCATTGTAAAGTCATTGAGACCTGTCAAAATAATTATGATATATAAAATTTTTTACGTTGATTATGATCTTTAGGTTTTCAACAAGAAAATTTTTTCTGTTTTATATTCTGTTTTTAGAATGGCACTTTGGCTTTTGCTAATTATGATGTATATTTGTAATATAAGTGAGTGCTAATTACTGCGTAAAACAAATGGGTTTAACGAAAAACTAATATTATTTTGGTTTAGTAGAGCGACACATATGCAGTGTGATATTTTAAATATACCTATGATCAAAAATTAGTATAATCAATGATTATTATGGAATTATTTCTTTTATTGTTTAACATTAAAAGGCAGATTGAAACGTAGCGCAAAGATAAAAATATTATGTTGTAATTATTATTAAAATAATAATCAGAATCAGTGTTATTTAAATATTTCTGACATATTTCAATAAATTATAGAAAAGCGACTAATATCGCCGTTAAAAACTCACATTTTATAGGCAAATCGAATATAACTGATCATAAAATAAATTTAATAATATAAATGTTAATTTTATTTGTGCAATTAAAACACAACTTCTGTAAATTGTATAGCTGGAAATTTACACAATAAATTATATAATAAAATATTTTCCCACATATTAAAACGCCTTCATGAAAGCGACTAACATCGCTGGCAATAACGCCATAATCATCAGCTTTATAAGCTTAAATTGTATATATAAACCAAAATAAACCTAATGAGAATTAAAATTTTTTATAATTTTATGTCTGCTCAATAGAGACAACGGAACCAAAAATAAGACATATGGATAGAGATTTTATTAATATTTATTAATGTTTATTAAATTTAGAGTTCTAATAATGATAAAATATAGAATATATAAAAAAATATTATACAAATGTTTAAGAAAACAAAATAATCTGTACCGGTTATAAAATATATAAAAAACTTTATTAAGTTTATAAGATGAAATGTGAATTATTTGTAGTTAAATGACAACTTAAATATATTTTGAATTTCGACTTTATATTTGTTATTAAAAAATATAATAAATTTTAATAAAATATATAATATATATAAATATAAAATGTATATATAAATATATTTTTTTTAAATATAAGTTTTAATTATTTTTTATTAGATAATTGTCATGACAATGAAATAAACTGATATAATGTTAGAGCCACTTAAAAATATTCGTATGCATATTATATTTGGTGTATACGCGAACAAACTAGACAGGAAAGGAACAACTACACTGATGATGAAGGCCAAAACCTTTTTGTGGACTAGGACATAGTACGCTCCTTTCTCTCATAAAAATAAAAAAGAACCAGAACAAAAAGGATAACTGGGATAATATACCAGGATTAACACAATTCAAATTACTTATTGGTACCTATAACAGTAAGAGATACCAGAATTGTATGAACTTATCAAAAGAAAAACTTAGAATTAACACAGGAATCCTAACAGGGTATTGTAAACTGAAATACCACTGTACAAGACTGGGTATACTTACGGATGCAAACTGTAGATTCTGTGAAGAGAATTAGGAGTCGGCCACACTTGTGCTGTTAGAATGCCCTGCACTAATGCACATATGGAATGGGCTCCTAGGAATGTATATTTTACGGAACTTACTCTAAATATAGAAAGAGGCACAATAGACCCGACGGTCGCAGTGCCACATTTCCTAACAATAATAATAATAGAAAGATTTGGAGTACAAGAAAGAAAATATTTGAGCTAATAGAAATATAGATGCTGTATAAAAAGTAACCGGAATTTATGATTTGTATAACATTCGTTTAAGATACTGGTACACTTTTTTATATGTAAGTTAATAGAATCAAATTATCTTAATTTTTAATTTTAATTCATGATATATGTTAAATGCTTGATATATGTTATATATTTGATATATTTCTATTATCGAACTAATATATATTTTGTTTTTAGTGTCTTAAATGCAATATTGTATCGATATTTATATTCAGTGAACTTTCGTTCTGTTTTGATACAATTTAATAAATGGATTATCGAATGTGTTTAGTATCTTAAATTTAATAAAGTCGATGTATCTTGAATAAACTTCCGTTTGTTGCGATACAATTTAATTATCATACATTTTGAGATACTTTGAATTTCTCTTAACTTGTTCCCTTAAAAAGAACCGTGAAGAGAATTGAAGACACTTGTTGCTTATCTCTCTGCATAATTCTGTTTATTTTTTCAGTTTTATTTCATTTTTTTTATTTTTTTTTAGTTAAACAAATTTGCCGGTTATTTTGTCTGTCAATTGCATTTAAATTCGTAACACATGTTGAGGCTGGGATGCATTTTATTAGTAAGCAAGTGAGTGCGATGTGTTTGATGTTGCTAATAATCATTTCAAAGATCATAATCATGATCATGTGGCGATGAGTAATTTATTGTTAACATCTCAGATGATCATTTCATGTGCATCGGCAGTGTGGAATATGTAAGTAAAATTTATAGAGAATGCAGTAAATGGAAGTTTGGGTATAGGAAAAAAACAATAACAATAAATGATCGCTTGAATTGAGTGATTGAGTATTTTTCCAATTGACTTAAGTATCTTAATTTTACGTCTAGAAAATTTATTATTGATCAGTAGAATTTCATAATATAGTAGGTGTGTTAACAAATAAAAAATATGTCAAAACGGGATTGATATTTGTATTAATTAAAGCGGTAACGGCTTTTTGCTAGTCAAGTAAATTAATATGTTAGGAAAAATACGTTAGATATAGTATGACAAAGAATTTTAATTATTTTATTATTATAAAAATATTTGTAAATAATTCAAATGAAACAAATTAATCAGTTGAGTGAGTTTGTTACAATAGTCTGGTTGTTTTTTTTAAATATAATTAAGTATAAATATAAATATAAATATAAATATAAGTATAAAAATAAAAAAAACAATTTTAATTGTTTCTTAGCAATTTTTATTATTTATATTACATTGTAAAATGAATTTTTACATGATGAATAATTGCAATTCATTATAAATTATCCATATCTACATTCATAAATATTTCAGTTTATTTTTATTTTATGACTTAGTAAATATTAAATGAGTTTTCAGATTTATCACAATTAAGTTATGGGTCAAGAATGCTCTTTTTTATTTATCATGTTAAATCAGCGTACTGAACTCGTAGCATTCATTACTTTATAACCTTCAGTACACTGACATTTGCACAAATAATTGTTTATTTAATTTGATAAAGTTCAGTAACATATCCTGTAAGGATGTCATTTATACTTATTTATTTAACATATATTTTTTATAAACATATAATTTTTGAAATATGATTTATGAAGGCAAAAATTGTTTAGGGTTTGTTTAAAATTAATTTTTGTTTTTTTTTTGTTTATACATTTATTTTTATTACAATCTGTCAGGTATTCTCATTCATAAGTAATATTTATTAATATGAAACGTAATAATTATTATTACGATCTCAAAAAAGAAAGGCGCTTATGGACTATGCTGCCCAGTGATATATCCATGTCTACTTTAAATAAAATTGAAATTAATTAAAATTATTTTTTTTATTTATTTATATCCTTATCCTGTAAGGATATCAACTTCACTAACTTATAATTTTCATTAACATATGAGTTTTGAAATATGATTTTTGAAGGCCAAAATTGTTAAGGTTTTTTAAAATTAATTAAAATTATTTTACTCAATTATACTACAGCTGGTTTAGGATTTCGTTCTAATATAAACATAGCAAGTAAAATTTTTAATAAAAACTTTCATAGCAAAAGTAACAAAAGTCCAGAAAAATGTGCAAACATAAAAAGTCAAGCACGGCTTTGGATCAGTTGGTTAAGGTGTGCTGACTCAGAGTTTTAAATTTGACAGGGCACGATTTCGATTCCTGGTACTTGCAGTCTCAAAAAATTATTTACGTATAAATAAATACAAGAATTATTTCCAAGATCAATGATGACGGTTATTTGGCTGTATGGTCAGCCAAAAATTCAATTAATTAAAATAATATAAAAA